ACCACCCGACAGCTAGCCGAGCCTGCGACACCCCTTAGCAGTTGCTCTAGACTTCATAATCCGTCTCAAAGAAAATTATCATTTTGAAACCAAATAAAAAATAAATTCCATGAATATTAATTTGAAAAATTGAATTATGTTAAGCTATGTCAAATTTCTTTACAAAAAATACATATAAAGAAACATAACTTATGTTTAAGAATTTTAAAAAGTATATACATACAAGTTGCATTAAAGAAATACGATCACATGGCAACTACATAATTTAGATGTAGTGATTAGTTGATATCAACAAAATTCTTTGACCGAATACGTTACATGAAAGAAAATTGTTGTCAACTTGGTAATGATCCATTTCCATTCATTATGTTAAAATATTCGTCAATTCAATTCAGTGTTACTTGTTATCGTAATACTAGAAACTAAAACATGTCTCCAATGAGTCACATATTTGTTAATTCTAAACCAAGTCGATATATTCATATATGCCGCAAAGAATTCACTTTGTTCAAAAACAAAAGGACAAATGACAGGTATTTTGTGTTGAATGATAACTTTAATGTTTACAATTGCATTCTTTCAGACAATCATCACGTTTGTAAATCTGAATATCATTAAATAACACGCAACGTGCAAAGCCTGTTTGAAATTTACATAAAACAAGTAACAATTTAATGAATTGAAATACTATTCATTTTCTATCTCATTAAATGAACAAAGATAATAATCAATACACTGCGCCAAACATATCCATGGATGAAAAGAGCAAAGGTCTATATATTCTGATTGATGTTTATAAAATAACCGCACTATGTAAAACTAGGGCCTCATCTTGACTTGTAGGAAGAGATATGGAGCGAGCTTGTAGATATGGAGCGGTGTCCTTTCGGCGTACATTATGTGGTCATAAAAACTATGCATAGCGAGCTAAAACGTACATTACAAGGCGAGGCAGTGCGAGAGGAAAGCAGAACGTTACAAGATATCAATTTATACAAACGTAGCGGTGACCGCGCGCACCGGATAGTGTCAATGCCACGCTCAGATCGGCGCTGTGGCTCATTGACTTTACAACACCGCACCGCGACACCACGCACTGCTAATATTACTAGTCGCATATCCTGTGCTACACGCACTTCTAAACCATTCCCACTAGTGTACTATTAAACTCTTACTAAAGGAGACCCTTAAGGGACACTAAGGGAGATTTCGTTTCAAAACAACTTTAAGGAATTCCTACTCCGAGGTTTTATTACGATAAAAGCTCCTTAGGGTTCAAAGGAACTACCGTTGGAAATTAAAATGTTTATCTTACTGATATTAAAAATGCGAAAGTTTAGATGGATGGATGTTTGTTACAGTTTGTACCCTAAACTGCTGAATGGATCTCGATAATTTGGCATATATGTACAGGATAGTCTGGAAGAACACATAGGCTAATTTCTTTTATTTTTTAATTCCACCGAGACGAAGACGCGAGCAAAAACTAGTGTTTTATAAAGTTACGCCATATTCAAACTCAGCTGGGAAGCAAAAGAGAGAGTATGAGTCACAAATTAAAATAAGAATTATACTATATACTGTAATTTAGATTAGAGCTCACATTAAATTTACATAAAACCACGGGCGTAAGATAATGGCACAACTCGAAATCTCATACATTCAATGTTCAGTGGGAAAATTGTGAAAAGTGGATACTTAACCTACACATAGACATTTTTTACTTTTTTATTTTGGTCAAAAAAGGACAAAACGAAATGGTACGTGAGACAAGTAACGAGCGAGCTGGCGTGTAGCGACGGACCTTATCGGTGGAGTATCACTCGAGCTTATCGCATTTATAAACAAATTACTTAATACCTAAATGTATGGCATACCGTTTTTACACGTTGCTTTGAGAGCTACGTATATTTAACTCATTTCGAGTGCATCGCGTGTTTACATTAAATTCATTCGCAAATGTAATCTACAAGATCATTTACTTAAACTCAATTGTCTGCTTTAAATTTATTAGGGACAACTTTTTATTCCATGATTACAGAAAAAACAAAAACTTTATACAACTGTGATGATTATTAACTGTAATAGATAAATTAAATCCTATTCAGGAGAATTCATCTCCTGAAACAAAAGAAGTTTGGCTTATTCCTTTAATTTGTCCAAATCTATTAAACAAAAAAATCCATACATCTTTTGTAGAAATCACAAAACATACTAGTTCCTACTACTAACATAAGCTATGCTTGAAGTTTGAAACAAGCCACTGAGCTATCTAGGTATATGAAAATTATAGTTTTTGTGTAGATTTTTCACAGTAATCACTTCGCACACACATATGTGCATATCCAAAATACAAAAATTTAGGCATTATTACAGTTACAGAAAAATTTAAAATTAATATATTAGAAATAATTATATGACAGCCAATAAAGAACCAACAAGTAAAACTGTGAACTACTAACAACTATAATATGTGGTTCAAATAAAAGTGTGTGTCATTCTTGTCTCTATTCATTACTTTCCAAGGAGACCAAGAGAGATATACAAATAAACATGTTTTATACAAGTCATTTTACAGTGGGGATGCAGTGTAACAATATGCAACTATCATTAGCATGTATGGATGGGCTGACTAATTGGTGGTAAGAACAAAGGTGTATTGTAGATAAGGCGCGGGCACGACGGAAGTTACCATATGCATTAACTTTATCGGCCGCAGCGAGGTTCTGCCTAACATACCATGGAACATAATTTGGTCCCGCTGTAGTAACCCATGATTTTTATGACAAATTATTTATTTTTACCATTAAATTAGACAGTTAATGACGCTGGCCCAATCCGCTGTAGGAGAGCCATAAACAAGAAATAGACAGTTAATTATTATTATAAAACATTCCCTAACAATGTAGCTTATAGGACAAAATAGGATCTATAAACATACTATGTCAAACACAAAATGTGTTTTTAGATATTTAGAGGCCAAATACTGATGCAATTCTTAAAAACTTCGCTTCGTCAGTGCTGTTTACAATCTGACAGATGACAAAATTTGAATGGAACTAGGGTTTTCAATTATAGCCATATGAAACATTATTCCTACAAATTGTCCATCACATTAGTGAGATTTATTCATACAAATATATGAAGCAAGAATAAAAGCAAATCTCAAAATTATTAATAACATAATGTAAACTATTTCACTACAAATTTTCTTAAATAGAACGATAATTACGTATGAAAAGACAATAACATTCCACTGATTACAGACCCAACATCTAAATTAGGGTTTGGATAGGGTCAACTACAACTGGGTTCATTGTATGTGATAGCGGAGTTGGCAGAGAACATCGGGTCACGGGTCATGCCCCGGAAGGCGTACTGCATCCTTATCTTAGCAGACACACTTCTCCTTATCATAGATTTATGCACTCGCTCTGACACCCACACAAATCAATCACCAATGTACCTATCTCTCCGACTTACAACTACATGTGACTAACAATGCATTTTGTACAAATTGATATTATTAAATGATGCAATTTATAACCTCAACAATTTCAGAAACACTATTCAAATTTCTACAGATAAAATGTCTTATTGTGGCTCCAATTTTTATATCTCCACCTTCTTAAACCTATTTATTTTTTATAGAATATCTGAGTTACAAAACTAAAATCAAAATACTAACTTTGCTAAATCATACTTCATACTAATATTATAAATGTGAAAGTTTAGATGGATGGATGTTTGCTAGAGTTTGTAGCCTAAACGGCTTTACAGATTTCAATGAAATTTGGTATAGATGTAGAGGATAGTCTGGAAAAACACATAGGCTACACACTTTTTTTTTATTTCATGTGAATAAAGTTGCGGGCCCAAACTAGTACCAATATAAACATTACCAATATAATTGTTATTTTTATTATTTTGCAGTACCACATATAATGCGACTACAGTCTTTTTGCATGAAAGTGATCTCACCTCGAAAGATGAAGGCAATAAATGTGTTAACTTTAATAGAAATCATATACTGGAATGTATATTAAATATTTTGTAGGTGTACATATTAATATTTAATTCAAAGAGGTCTCTTAATATTTAAAATAGAGCAAGTGTTTTGTTTCTATTTGGTTATTCTCTTTAGTTCTGAACATGGTTCATTTTCAATAAACAATTTCTGAAAGTAATGGTTTTTTATTAATTTTAACACTTTTCTTAGATTTTATTTATAATAGATGTACATTATTATAGTAACTTATATCAATAAGATTTGGGACATAGTTAACATTGATGAACTTTGTTACCCACATATATTTTTAATAAAAAATAAATAAGCCGAAAAATCAGCTTTCTCTCAATGTGATGTTAAAAACAAATAATGGAGTTTTATTCAATTAAAGATCTCATGTTATTCACTCTTATTTAGTTCATATAAGAAAATGATAGTATGATGCTATCCATAAAATAATTATACAATAGTGTACATGCAACAAATATCTAATCTAACATGATCTAAACACGAGTTCATTGTGTTCACGACGATTCATTCATAAACTCTGAACCAACTGTCAAACCACCTCACGACAAAAACAAAAGGACTAGGCCTTCCTAACTAATGGTAACTATGATTTCTTAAAAGGACACTAAAAGCAAACTTATTGTTTGCTAATCATAGGTACATATTGCGAGAATTTAAATAAAACTTGGAAACCTACGTTATTTGGGCACCACCTGTTCACCACTATGACAACAACAGTCAGGGATCAGTGCTACACTCATATATGTATTAACTTATTGCCCTATAGAAACAATATGTCTAAAATCCATTCAGAAAATAGAAAATAATCGTGAATATTACTTACCGATCTTTATTTTTAATCTTTCTTCAACTCGCACTTTACGCGTTTCGTCCGCCATGTTAAATCCATAACTGTTTATCTCTTTCATCCGCTGTTATCTCTTTCGGAACGAGCCCCTCGGCCGGCTTGTCCCGCCACTTCCGGAGTGTCGTAATGTTCTACTTGAGCCTGTTTTCAACAAGTTAGAGTTAACTGGACAGTTAAAACCCGAACATGTGAAAACGTACGTTTTGATTTAAAAACTCCAAATATAAATGACGGTTTTCAATGCAATTGAAATCGAATGAATTCATACTTGCATTGCGCATGTGCTTGATACATGCACTCCAATTCATCAATGAATGCACTTTTTGGAAATTTATTACACAGATTTCACTTCACAACCATGAATTGAATCAGTAAAAACACAAGTTAATGTAGTTTAATGTCTCATATAGTATCTTGATTATCACAACACTTCGTCAATAAGATATTTAGTCTAAATGAATGAACAAAAAGTATGAATGGACAATTACGTCACGTCACGACATTGCGCTTGCGCGGCGGCACATTCGTGTACAGACAACTGTCGTATACCTACTTCGGCTGAGCGAGCTTATTTCATCTTCGTTGGGCGATATGACATAGTACTAGTTGATAGGACTATCAATAGATGGCAGTGACTACAATTAGTCCATTATTACTTGTCTCATTATTGATATAAAAACTAGCTTCAATAATTTTGTTTCTCTGAAGCTTGTGGTGGCCTTTCCCAGATAAGATTTTTTCCTTCTTTTGTTTCGCTTTATTCTAAAAAAATCTTCTCAAAAAAGGGGAGAGATTATCTATGGAAATCTTTCCTTGAGCCCCCCTCTTATCTATATCTCTAGTGACATTTGACACTGACATTTTGTTTCAAATTCAAGTTGAATACAAGTTTTAAAAACTACTGAATTGAAACCTTAAAAAGTGAGTGAATAAAACGATAAGTTAATAGATTCTATTTTTCCTTAGTAGATATAAAAAACAAACAACCATACATCCTTTCCTTTTACAGAATACAATTATTCTATGCAAATATTCTTAATAAAATTCTGTTCAAAAATAACATGAATGATAGTTATGATCACATTAGTCCTGACTTAATATATGTAGTTGAAAATATACCAGGACCAGCTGAAGACAATGTAGAATATGAAGAATTATTAAACAACTACAATTCACAACTTTCATGTAAATGTGAATGTACAAGAAATTGCTTAGACGAGACCTGTTTATGTATTTATAACTCTAGGGGAAGAAATTATACATTCTCAGATAGTAACAACTTAAAAACTTACAAAATTATTGACTACAAGAATGACAAGACAATATTTGAGTGTAATGATTTATGTTCATGTAACAGTTACTGTGGAAATAAATTAGTACAAGTAGGCCCTCTCGAAGGCTTGATTGTTAAACCCTGCGATATTAAAGAAAAAGGTTTTGGTTTGTTCACAAAACACCCTATAAACAAAGGTTCATACATATGTGAGTATGCTGGAGAAATTATAACAAAATCACAAGCCCTTAAGAGGCATCAAATGAATATAATGAACATGAAAATGAATTTTATATTTTGTTTAAATGAACATTCCAATGGGAAGGTAACACAGACTTTTGTTGATCCATCTACCTTTGGTAGTATTGGCCGTTATATAAATCATAGTTGTGAACCAAATTGTTTTATTCTACCCGTCAGAGTTAACACTCCATTACCAAAACTCGCTATATTTAGTCTTACAGAAATTACACATAATCATGAAATAACAATAGACTATGGCTCAAAATCTTACAATGGTCTAAATATTGAAGTCAATGTAGAATATGGTAGAAAAGGGTGTTTGTGCAACAGTGACAATTGCAAGGGCAATTTGCCATTTGATTTTTATTGAATACAAATAATAATTATAAACAGTATGGTTTTACTTTCCTGCTATTCCTAACACATAATCTTTTAGTAGACCTCTTCTTTTTAATAACACTCTTTTCTAATAAGAGTAGTATAGGATGGGCAGCAGAAAAGAATTTAATGGGTGAGTGGGTGGATTTACAAGAGAAAATGACCTTTCTTTTGTTTGTTTATATGTAAATCTCAGACTAAGAACCGTCTGTTTCAAGGAAGTGATTTATTATTCATTAGTTTTATTAATTCGATTATAACATTAACAGTATTTACAACACATTTTTTCTGTTTGAATAACGTATTTTTTAGTGATGTATTTCTATATTTTCTTTTTATTATGATATGTTATAAATATGTAATACTAGCTTTCGTCCGCGACTCCGTCCGCGCGGAATTAAAAAAAACAAAGTATGTAGTTTGTAAGTAGCCTATGTGTTTTTCCAGACTATCCTCTACATCTGTCAAATATCGTAATTCGTATAGCAGTTTCGCATTTATAATATTAATAAGAGTATGACTTAATCGCGCCTTTTGATCTTAATGACAGTAAATCTTGGAAAACTTTACCACATCCATCAGTGCGAAAATTAAATAGACACAAAATATAATGGTTCATAGCCTCCTTGGATGGACCATTTATAATGGTCAATGTGATTCCTGCAAAAATTTACTTCACATCTGGCAACTTTTATACTCTTTGCTTTTGCTCTATGGAAATTACCTCCAATGTTTATAGAAAAGAAGCACATTTACTTTACCTGTTTTCGTTTATTTTTGTAAATTTATCATAAAACTAAATCGTCGTATGATTTTTATGCTTGCACTTTTATGTAAAAGTAATAAAGAGGACTCGAAGTGAATAGTTTTGGTGTGGATAAAAATAATTGTGACACGATGACTGATTCGGTAAATATGTCATTGGGTAAGTAAATTGAATATAAATATGATATTTTGTATCATGTTTCTAATAAATTTTGTTTTGACATCAACTTTCAATTCTAGTCACATTTTATCAAAGTTGGGTTTGGTTTGTTTTAGATGACATTATAAAACAAAACCGTACAAATAAATCCCGAGGAAGAGGCGGCGGGACCATACGTGGTCGTGGCGGTGGTGGTCGCGGTGGCCGCAGAGGTCGAGGCGGTGGTTCGGCTCGGCCAGATACTCCTGGCGCACGCCAAGGCCGTGCCGGGGGCCGGTCACAGTCGCGCGGCCGTTCACAATCTCGTAGTCGCTCCCAATCTCGCGGTCGTTCTCAATCAAGAAATCGCTCTAGGTCACGCCAACAGAGACGTTCTTCTTCTCGGGCTAGGTCAGCGTCGAGATCGCGATCTGCGATAAGAGGCTTAACTCCCAAAGGAAGAGCTGGACTTGAAGAACATCAAGATGATATGCCTCAGCTAGTAAGAAGGAACAATTTTCGTGGTAGAGGCAGAGGTATAGTAAATTTATATTTTCAACTAGCCAAATAAATCTAAAGATACTAAGCATTTCATGTCATTGTGGTTAATTTTTATATTCTTTTTTTTCTAAATACATTGTCATTAATACAGTTAAAAATAGGTAATAGTTAATTACATCATACAAAACATTGCTTGATATAAGTATCACAACAATGAATTTTGTGAATTTGTTTCAGGTGGTATTCAAACCAGACTTCTTCGCAGTAATTCAAATTCTCGAACACAAAATGGGATTCATAGTCGACTTGGAATAACAACTCGTAGGGGTGGTGCTAATAATGCTTATCGTCCACTTGCAGTTGCTAAAAGGGGTATTGCTAAGCGGGGTCAAGGTTTTGCTACAAGGAAATATAGCAATGTGGGATTACGTTCTGACCAAATAATTAAAGAGCAAAGACAGAACCTTATGTTAAACAATTCAATCATAAAATCACAGACATTTACACGGTCTAGACGTAATTCCTTCAATTCACCTTCACAGCTTACTGTTAGTGTAGCAAATGATTTTGCCAAAAGACGCAGAAATAGTGTAGGTAATGGTAATTACTTGAACTCACAAAGCTTAGCGCAATTTAACAATCAGTTTGGTGGGTATAGAACTCGACGAGGGACAGGTAGCGTTAAATCAATGGGTTCAAATAGATCAAACAGATCTAGTCGGTCCAACCAATCGAATACAAGTAACAGGTCACGTGGTCGAGGGCGGGGACGCGGACGAGGTAGAGGAGTAAACCGTGGGGTTGGTCGCAAATTTGTTAATAAACAGATACTCAATCCCAAGCTACAAAAAGAGATTGCTGCAATACAGGGAAAAAGTTTGGCGACCAGTTCTAGTGAAAGTGAGGTCCCAGTTGGAGTTAATTTCACCCCCACACCAGCAGCTACTGCTCAAACCTTACATCAGAGGTTTGCTAGCGCATAATAAAAAGTTTGTTTAAAATAAAAGATTGATGAAAATATAAAATGTGTTGCATAAAGTGCAATAACAGTATTTCATAATAGAAAAGAAGCAAATAACAAAATAAATAAAGCTTTGACATTTAATCTCTAGTTTTGTGTGTGGTTGATGATTAACTCCAACTAGTATGTAATTAGTATTTAGGTTATCCACTTTTTCATTGGTCCATTTGTAGCACTATCTTGTATAACAGTTAATAAATAATTAACTTACATATTCAGTTTATTATGTGCAAGAAAGTAAAAATAATTTATAATAACAGGCATAAAATATTATCTATTAGAACATTGGATTCTAGATTAAGGTCTATAAAATTCTATAAATCATCTTCAAAAATTAGACATGTTTGTTCAATAAAAGTATTGTTTTACACATTTTCTAGCTACTGACTAAACATAATTTAGCTGTTGACAATTTGTATCTAGATGTAAGGTGATTAAGGATAATTTACTCATTGTGAAATAAATAATTATCCATAAACATTAAAACATTTTTTATTTTTCATACATGTATAAAATATATAATTCAATCTTTAATCTTATTGCTTAGCATGTCTTTTGTAAAAGTATTTAATTTATGAAAATCTCGGCAAAATTATGTCTACATCCTGTACATTTTTGGCATCATGATGAGTGAATCTGTAACTATAAAAACAAATTAAATTTAAAATGAAAAAAAAAACTACATGCTCAGAACATATATTGTTCTGAAAACACTTGTATAAACAAAGACAAGGTTTGGTTTGACAAACATTTTCTTCACTAATACGAATATTATAAAGAGGATAGATTTGAATTTTAAAAATTCTTTCACTGTTAAAGGTAATTATTTATCTGTGAGTTATATAGGCAATATCTCATTTATTATTTTATATTTCACGCAGACAGTGTCACAAGCAGCAGCTAGTATATAATAATTTTAACCAATGAATTGAAACAACTTCTACATAAGAACTTACAGTTTTCTCCCAGTATATTGCTTAATATTATTCCATGAAAATAAGCTATATGGTCTTTTGGACTGTCTTTATCATTGCTTTCAAATGTCCAGCCCAAGTGGTGACCACAATGTGGGCATGTGCAGATTCTCCATGTATATCCTGGAAACCAAGAATCTGCACCTTGATTCTAAAAAAAAATGTTTTAAATGTAAGTAAATTCAACATCTAAAACTGTGTAAGGTCCAGATTAAATGCCTCTGAAAACAATAAAGATGCAAAAAGAGATTTTATCAATTTAAATAAAGTTATTTGTATTTATGTAATAATAATTGAAATATTGTACACTTAACTGGTCCTATATTTTGACATCTTGCCTTTTCCATTGTTATAATATCAAATTTTACCCCAAATGGGTTTACTAATGTTTGCACAGTTATATTGTGCCTTCCAAATAAGTTTTGCTTTTCAGTATTCCGAGACCCAGGACTGATTTTAGTGAAAATGTAATGCGAATCTGCAACGTCGGCACCACATTTTCGACAAAGTAGTAACTCTAAAATATTTCAAGCTCATTCATAAATATAAAATAAAATCTTTTGTTTTTTTAATTTGACTGGGGATTAGTTGAATTTGTTGTATTTGAAAAGATGTATATAGTGTAGTGCAACGAGGACGAGGAGACGATGCATAGGTAGAGTGCAACTGTTATGAAACAAGAAAATTACTTTACAATAAGTTAAGACATTGGATTTTGATAAATACTACTATCTATTCTCTGATATATGATCAAATATATATAAATTATACAATACAAAATCTACCTTGACCATGCTTTTCGACTTTACTATAGTTATCAATCGAAGTTGATATTTGAGAAGCACATGATAAGAAAATTAAAAAATAAAATATTAACATTTCGTTGTCAACAAGAGAAACCTTTGTAAACTGACGTGGATTTTATCTACTCATACTTATTCAAATCTACTATCTGCTAAAATACCGAAGAACAAAATGTTTACTATAACAGGTGAACAAAATATAAATAAATACGGCAGACTACAATGTATCGTAAACACTTAAATCGTTTGACAGGAGATTATAAGAAGTAAAAAGTTTGACATTACAGTGACATAACGTGACCGCCAATAAACTTTGATGATAAAGAAAGGGATTAGGCAAACACTTGGCCAATCATGTTCACAATGACATTATACTAGGTCGTGTGTATTTTGGCACTTTTCTCCGACAATTAAAAGTACTGCCTCGACATGTATTAATTTTTATTTTGTTTATACTGCACAGACACTCTAACAGCAGTAGTTTATATTTCACAGTGGTACAAAAATGAATGCACGAGGTAGTTAGTCCGTTTATTAAAGGTCAAAGCCAATTAACTTTATTTTATGAAAAAATAGAGTATCCTCTTATTTTATGTACTTGAATTAAATAAATATAACAAGAGGTGATTGATATATCTTATAGGTAATAGGATTTTAACATTTCACGCCTATTTATAAAAAAAAAATATGAAGCACCTGGCAACAACATTTTTGACATTTGTTATTGTGACTGTGTTTACCATTTGCACTTCGCAATTTGTTTTATGTTTTGAAAAAAATATATGTGTGATGTGGGTTCTATTGCGACTATAGTGCTAAAACAATACACGTTACTATTTCCAGTAATGTTACATATTAATAAGTAAGGAAAATGTCGTTTTTCAAGAGTGTAGCATCTAGCTTCAACAAACACAGTCGTGATTCCATTCTCAAGGAATCATTAGTAAACAATTTATCAGACTGTGTGAAAGATATACAATACAATAGCCAATTTGATGATAACTTTCATAGTGTTCTTGGATCGACGGACTCAACAAATACGCTATGTATGGCGTTGGAAGCTGTTTTCCTTCACGGTTTGAAAGACACTTTTTTAAGGAAAGCCAAAAATGTAATATCTAGCGATCCTGACTATCGGCCGCAATCAAGTTTCTGGCCGCTAGTACTTATCTTATCACATCGTCAGAATATTGATCAGATATCCTCATTGCCTCAAATAAACACAGAAATAGGGCAATGCAGAGCATGGCTACGAATTGCACTTAATGAGTGTTTGTTGTCATCTTACATGGCTACTCTACTGAAGAATATTTCTGCTGTTAAACCATTCTATAACAGATCCGCATTTGTGTGTGATGCAGAGATATTAGAGGTGGCTCAGAAGCTTGTTCAAGGTCTGGAATCATGTGTACAGTTTAATTTACCTACTAATTCAAGTTTATTAAACCAATGGCCTGAACAGGTTTTGATGCAGGCTGGAATATGGGTACCTACTATGAGAGCTGCCCCAATTAGTGCTGGGCTTGATGTTGCCAGTACACTTTCTGATGAAACTAAAACAAAATTGTCATCAACTCCGACACACAGTCCTCATCTCACAGAATTTGGTAAGATGTGGGCATTAAATGAAGATGAGGCTTTAAATTTTATTTTATCAAAGGATTCCCTTGATGTTACTAGCCAAACTGTGAAATCAGAAGACATAAAACAGAATTTAGAAGAAGACAAAGAAGAATCACCAAAGGAGGTTATTGCATCAGACTCTGTAGACATTGAAAAACCAACAACTAGTCAAGATCAGGAATTTCCATCATCTATCGAGTCAGCCGATTTTGTAAACACCTTGGATGTTCTTGTCACTGGCAATTCCCTGTGTGGCAAGGGATGGTCGGCCGAAAGCAAAGATGAATTGACCACATCTGTTAATTCAAACTCATCACATGGCAGTAGTCTTATTAAAACTCCAGAATTAAAAAGTTTATCATCTTTAGTTGACCAATCAAGTAACTTTGGTGATACCCAAATCAATACATCAAATTTGAGGGATATAATGAAAGACATTCATAAGGAATTAAAATTAACAAGTGAGGATAGTGATATTTGTGATCTAACAGTTGAAACTGCCACACCGGAGGATCTGGCGATGCATGGTTTAGATTTTGAAATTGTACCAAACACTTCAACTGGTTCTTTCACAGTGCAAGAGTTGCATAAATTAGTACAACAACTAGGATCACTTTCTAGGGAGAAAGGTCTGGATCATCAAAACTATCAGTGTAAAGGCTGTCAAGATTTACTTGGCAGTATAGTTTCTAAAGCAAAAGTTTGCGCTTACACCGGAGAGTACTATTGCTCCAATTGTATGGATCCAAATGTTTTTATAATTCCGGCACGAGTTATACATAACTGGGATTTTAAAAGATATCCAGTATCTAAAAGGTCAGCTCTCTTCTTATTGGAATTTCAACATAATCCATGGATAAACATGAAGAAACTGAATCCTAAAATATACTCCGGTGTATCAGACATGGCACATCTTCATGATTTGAGGATACAACTTAATTTTCTGAGAAGTTATATATTTACTTGTCGTGAGCCAGTGATTGAGGAGTTACAAAAGAAAGTGTGGCCGAGAGAATATTTGTATGACCATGTGCATTTGTACACAATATCTGATCTTGCACAGATACCAAATGGTTCCTTAGTGTTGCAGCTAGAAAAAGTTGTTAGTTTTGCCAGATCACATGTGCTCGATTGTTGGCTCTGTAGCCAGAAAGGTTTCATATGTGAAGTGTGCAGAGATCCAAAAATATTATATCCTTTTGAAACAAGCACAACATACAGATGTGATGAATGTTCTAGCGTGTTTCATGCCAAATGTCTGAATGCAAACACACCCTGCCCTAAATGCAAGAGGAAGCAGGAGCGTACAAACGAAGCTTTGGTAGATCCTGTTCACTTTATTAAATAGTTTGCTACTTACTGTAGTTGAAAAAATCATTTTTAGTATAATAAAAATGTGCATTATCTAAAATTGTTATCAAAATAACATTAAAAGCATATTTTAATTTAAAACATTATATTGAAAGAAATATGTATATAGGATCATTTATATTTTTTTATTAAACATTGCTTATGTTTAAAGATTACTAAATGCTTTATAAACAAGATAATTTATAAAAATTATTTATAACATCATACATGTTTTACTTTTATTTATAATCTGTTGTACATATGTATATGTTTCAATTGTATCACAAAACGTAATTTAATGACTGGGTTATAAATAACATGAAATAAAGAAAATATATTCACATTGTGAAATGTATAAACTATATACATTATTGTTTTATTTAACTTGACAAATTCCATTGAGATAGGATTTTATACAATTGGTTGTTTAGCAAATATGAATTATAATACTGATAGTGAAAATTTGGTCTATATAGTTTTCTCAGTAAACTTAGTAACAGTTTTTATTAACTGTTATATACAAATATACATATAATCTAAATTTATTCACCTGGTTCTATTTGAATTTAAAATATCACTTAAATATGAGCTTGTACTTTCTTTTTTATTTTGCGATTTCGTACTTTGTGTGTTCCTCTTTGCAGTATTTACAGCCACTTGATCCTCGATGGAGTAATCTTCAAAACATTCATCCAGTAATTTGTCAGGGTCATCCTGTTTCGCTTTCTTTTTCTTCGATTGATAGCTGAGAGAATCCTTTTCAAAGTCTAATGGAACGATACCCAAGTCTCCGCTGTACCGATTCTTAGCTACTTGTAAATATTTTTTTCCGCGAACAGCTGTTAGCCGTTTGTCCTGTTAGAAAATATTTTTTTAAATAAATAAATAGTGTAAATAAAATCAACAATTTACTTAGTTGGTTTACCTGAATTATAAGAACATTATCTGCCTCTTGCGATGCTTTCGCGCTGCCGAATATTGAACTTGTCGAAAGATCTTCTGATTCTCGTTCCTTAAAAAACATTTATAAAAATGAATCAGCAACTATCTCGCTAGTTGTTAGATAAACGTTTAAAATTGGTTCACATTATTTAAGAAAGACACACT